ACACAAACACACTGGGAGACAGAGGGACTCGCCCCATCTGTAAGTCACCCCAGGTTTCAGCTGAAGGAAACCCACAGCCTCTCCTGGCAATCACCTGTTCACATTACAACTTTCTCTGCTTTATTTTGGAGTGAGGAGGACCAGCCCAACTGCAGGCCAGTCCCGCAGGCTCCATGACTGCGGCAGACTTTCATTATCAACTCTGTTTTGAAAAATTATTAGCACTACCATGCACAGCATCATTAGCCCAGTAAACCTAAGCACTCAGTTGGTTGAGCCCCAAATACAAAGTCAGTGCACAGAGCATGGAAACAACTGTCTCCCAGCAAGAGTTTTGCAAACACAAAGCGCTTGCAGCTGTGCAACACAGCTAAACACATTCCCCAGGCCCCAATTAGCAGGCCAGGTGAGAGCCAAGGCTCAGCTGATGCAGATGCACAGGGACAGCCGGGCTCCCTGCTGTGCTTCCCTCCCCCACTTTCCAAGTCAGACAGGAGAGCTCAAGCGGTTCCAGCCCAACGGGGTAGCCAGGGCATTGTAGGTCCTCTCACTGAGGCATCCAGTTACACCAGCACCAACAGCATTACCAAGAGGCTGCCATAGCACATGAAATGCTTCAGCTCAGAGCCAGCCAACAGTGGCCAGAACAAGGTGTTGCACTGGATACACCTAATAGCAATGCATAAGCTTGCTGCTTACAGAAGAAGGCTTTTCTTTCAGTAAGAGCACAGAAATCAAAAGAGCCACAGCAGCTAGGAAACAGCAAGCTTCACACACATCTTCAAGCAGCACGAAACTGCTTGAGCTCTCCTGCTTCAAGCAAACAGGACTGCGGACCATCCCATCCCCCGGAAAGGCACAACTCTATACGGGTCATGCTGAACCAGTGTGGACAGAGGCTTTGGTCCAAGCTCACAGCAGGACCACCCCACCTCACCCATCACCCATAGCAGGAGGCAGGGGACACTGCCACCTCCCCAAAGCATTTCCGGAGGAGGCAGGAAGGACACAGCCTCTCAGCACACACTCTCCACAGCGCCCACCTGGGGCCCTTTCCCCACAGACAGGACTGCTGCAGGCTGGCTTGAGGCACAGCCAGATGCACCTGCCGACACCTCCGCACCAACACACCTCGCGGCGACCGCCCCGAGCGAGGGGGGCGAGCGCCGCCCCCGCCGGCGGCACCGGAGCCCCTCCGTTGCCTCAGCCCCACACGGGTGAACGG